GACTGCCTTCCATCACCTGAGCAGCTGCCGTCTCTTTCTGCCAGCCCGCTTTGACTCTTCTCCTTCTTTTTCCTTTAATTTTAAAAACATTTTTTCTGACTCATCTGAACTTTTTCGGTCACCTCCTCCTCTCACATCCTCTCAGTTTTGATAATTTCTTTATCTTCAGTTGTTCATCATGCTCTAAGACCTTTCACATTGTTATCTGTCACAATCACCTGTCCTTCATGTTCCCCAAGCACCCATGCATTTATGTTGCTCTCATAGTTTTGGACACATCTCTATCATTGTTCTTTGTGTTTCCCACTCCCCCTCTCCCCCAAACACACACACACACACACATACAGTGTATATCCAACCCCTTTCTTGCTCCATATCACTGGGGAAAAGGTTACTGAAATGAAGTGCTGGTAGAACAAAGTGTTTATCCCCTGTTTTCCCTTTCGCTCTTCAGCTCTTGATATTGTATATCCACTGTGCACTGATGTTTCAACAGAGTGCCTGTCTGCTTCTGTCAGCACCATGGGAGTAGGCTGTATGTATGTGTGTGTGAGTGTGTGTATGGAGAACTGGGAACAGGGAAGGGAGCTGAAGGTTGACTGTGACGTGGAAAAGGAGGGTTGAAAGGGATTCTTAGTGCTGGTGCGAGAGGACAGCAGTGGTGGGAGATGCAGGGGGCGATGGAGCAAGAGAGAGAAAGGTGGGAGATGCAGGGGGCGATGGAGCAAGTATCAAGAGAGAGAAAGACAGCTTGTCCCCAGATCACCAGGAAAGCTGGAAGCCCTCGACTAAAAGCAGCTTTCAGCACAGCTGCCTCCTGCCACCATTTGATGCTGCTTAATAGACAAAAAGAAATTAGGGCTGCTGTTGCTTCTACTGAGACCACATCAGCATTCACCAAGAGGTGAATTTACTGTATATCATTTCTAATACCGCTTGTCAGATCTATACTATATGAACAGGACTTACAGTATGCTGTTTTTAAAAAATCACAGGCCCTCCTTTTAAACAATCAATATCTGGGTGAAAATCTGATTTTAAAAATAGTTTGGAACAAAAACTCTGTTATACAAGAACAGTTTCTTTTCAGCTACAGCAACCCTGGTGCATAATTAGCACCTTATTAGCGTTTTGTCATGATTTCACTCCCTTTCTGTTAGTATTATTAAGAAGATGAGATTTTCTGACCTGCGCCTAATTTGCGCAGTAGCTGACATCTTGTACTGTGAAACAACAAATTTGGGTGAATAAGGGCAGAAAGCTATTACAGTTACTTTACAGAAAACTTTTTTGATCCAATTCAGCAGCAAACAGCTGGAAACACAACACTGTGTTAAGTCCTGATACAGTGAACCAGTTGGCAAGCAGCTGCGTATTTACGCCTTTAGACAGAGTTAGATTCATTTGGATGCCTGTTTCTGCCATATTCACTCATCATTTTATCTCAGATTTGGTCTCCACTAAACCCTGAGCAAAGTACTGTATATCTAAACAGTTGCCAAAATTCTCCCCAACGTGTTCACTGCTAGCTTGTTTTGTTGGTCAACAGTTTGGTGCTGGACAAGTAACTTACAGTAGGATTTTAGATCTTTCTTGGTGCGAACAGTTGAGCTGCCCATTTTGTGTGTGCAGAACATGATGTTGTACAATCAAAACTGAGCTGAAAATTGCAAAAATGCCTCCTAGAGCTCAGGGGAACTGCAGTCAGTGATGATTCCTCATCACTAAACATGATCCCTTGCGTGCACACATTTGATTGGTTGTTAATGTAAAACCTTGATTAATGCTGCTTTGACTTGGCATTTGACATGTTGGCTTTTTTTTTTTTCAGAAAATGATTACACATCTGTGCTGACACAAAATGAAATTCACAAGACAAAAAGGAAAAACATAAACACAGTTGCTTTTATAGAGTGCATGAGGGCTCATAGTTAAGTGTATGATGTGGACTATATAGTATATGACCATCACTGTAATGAAATCTGGATTGAGCTGAGCACCTTCGGGAGATTTTGGAGGGATGTGTTAGACGGCAGTCTCCACCACTACAACACCAAATAAAGGAATGTCCAGAGAGTGTTATCCATGCATCGGTACAGTTCCAGTGCCATGTAATTAGTGACCCATCTGTAATTATGCACAGTAAAGGTGATTTGTAATAAAAACTCTAAATACATGTGACATATGCAACGATTCTATAAACAGCACATGTAACACACTATGAGCAGGCAGTCAGAGCACCGAGGTCATGGTCAAGTAAATAATTTATTCTCTTTATACCTATGTTATTATCTGCCAGAGTGTTTGATGTCTTTAATTTATTCTTCTACGCCCACCATGAGGATTGCCCTGCCTTGTCAGTACTATAGGAATAGTGAGAAATGGACTGAATTATTGTGTGGCGGTAGCGTGGGAGAGCGCTGAAGTGCCATAAGCTAAGCAGTGCCTCAGCGTGGCCACGCTGACGGAGAGAGAAAGGGACGAGACAAAGAGGGTTCACGGGAACAAAATCAGACAGCAGACATGAACAAAGCCAGGAGGCAGGAGAGAGGGACCCTGACAGGATAGAAAAGCCTGGAGTCAAGACCTCTGGCCCATCAGAGAGAGAGACCGAATGAAAGACACCCCTGCCTCCCACTCATCCTCCTGTTCTCACCTCCATTCTTTGGATTTTATTTGCCACATAAATAAAGGGTCTATTTCTCCAGCAAGCATCCCCAATAGCCACTGATTGATCTCTTGTCAGTGGTAGAAATTAGGTACAGCCTGTTTATTCTCTCTCTCTCTCTGAACCTTTGACTCCCCTTTTTACTTCTTCTACTTCTCACAAAGAGTTAGAGGCAGCCTTTAGGTTAGAGGAGCTTTTTCAGTTCCTAAAGCAACTGGAAAATCGTAAATGAGTGAAGTAAAAAGACTGATATTCTCCACCACGGTGCTTCTATAAATTCTCCTGCCCTCCCCCTCATGTTCCAGTCGAGCTGCTCTATGACAAACAGTTGACAACTGGTTGTACTGGGCAGCTTCCAGGTGGAACTGTATGAAGATGTTCACTCAGTTCTCCCTCAATAAATAAAAAGTTGTTGTTGTTTTTTTTTTATTTTTTATTTTGCTCCTTGAGGCCAGACGGCACAAAGCAGCCTGGGTAGTTTTGTAATTGTATAGTTTCATAACATTATGTTTCGGTGTGCATCAGTTTGAGGGATGCGTCTGTGTCAGAGGAGGAAATGTTTTTGTTCTCGACAATCCTTGTTTCTGTTTTCAAGCTGTCTTTTTTTTTTTCATATGTACAACCGGTGACAGCACTCTCTCTTTGTCCTTCCTTACTGGAAGCGATCACAAGGACACTGTCATCACTTCCATTAAGACACACGCACAAAAATACAATTGTGTTGGTTAGTTCTCTTTCTGTCTCGCTACGTTTCTTAAACGTCCTTTCTCTGTTACTCTTTGCTTTTTCCGTCCCTTTGTTCTCTTGTCTGTGTTTATACCAACAATGGAAAGATTCCCAAAAATACATGCTGTTTCTTTTGCTGATTTTACTTTGGCAGAAAATAAAACACTGTTGTGAACAAGTATTATAATACATGGTTTTACCATTATTATCAAAACAGAGTTGAGTTCCAACAAGGTTCTGTCGGTAAAAATAAAAAAAATAAAAAAACATCAATGTCAGGTTTTACAGTAGCGAAGCCCTTAGTCTTGTTATTAATTTGCCAGCAGGCACTGCTTTTTGTTTACTTTGCTTTACTCAATTATGATTCATTTGTAAATCAACTACCAGTACTTTCTAATGTAGTGCTTTAGAACATCCTTCATTATGGCTATTCCTGTTGCACAGATGACAAAAGAGCATGTATTCACAAATCATGTGTTATAGTTTGAGTGAGTAGTCTTAGCTAATCTTAGCTTAGCTTCGCTTTAAAGCACCTTATACTTAAAGGTGCATTAGCGAATTTTTTTTTTTTTTAGCCGCTACAGGGTCTAATGAGACTCAAAACAATCTGACACTTCCTGTTTCCTAACAACAACTCCAATCCAAAGCAGTGTCAGGTGATGAGGGTGACGGTGAGGACAGCACTAACATTACACAAAACTTAAATTACTCCCAAATTAACATCATGTCAAGTAAACGCAAAGGTAAAATCATGATAGGTTGTTAATGTTACCAAAACAAGCGCGTTAGCTTGAGATGCTCACACATCCAGAAGGAAGAACATCACATCTGAATCAAATGTGAGTCCTCTGGCTGCTTTGAATGGTCTCCAACAGAAGAAGCCAGGTTTTTGCTCTTTCTTTGTCCCACTCTGTGCAAAATAGTGTGACCTCTTCGACCTGGCAGACACTGTTTTGGACTGTTAGCAGATGAGAGCTCCTTTGTGGCTGGCTAGGTGGTAGGCAGGGCTAATGTCTGGACCGGAGAAGCAGGAATAACAACAGAAGGGCTGTAGGCAGCAGACTGTCATGGAGGGGGGTAGTTTAGCTAAGAAACACCATGTGTTATCTCATTTTCACTTTATTTATTAGGTAGTGTGTACAGTCTTAGTTAATGCACCTTTGAATTACAGTGAGCTGTTTTGCTTTACAACCCAAACAAACATTGCTTTGTGGTGCAAAACAGAAGACGGTCCCATCAGGTTAAATAAAAAGGCACACGATGTCTTAATTTTGAGGAAAGCTAGTACTGTAAGACAGAAACCATTTTAATTGTAATTTGACCGAGGTATCAAAATGAAGACAGTGTTTTTGGTCTCAGATGCCTTAAGTTTGAGTTGTACATTGCGCAGCCTTACCTTTCTTAAAATGTAAGGTGCCAACAGACAATGACATTCATTACTGAGAAAAGCCAATCAGAAAATATTCATGCAGAGAATGAACAGCCTGTGAATTCTTCCCATTTTTGCTCAAAATTGCAATTCTGTTGGTTAACTCACATAACATCCATTTTCTTTATCTTGAACTTGTGTTTAAATTAAATGCATTAGTGCATCATATAATATAACAGCAAGTTGCACCACCATAACTATATTATTTCTATTATTGGTGCAGTACCAATTAAAGTGCAAATGCCAGAAACTCACAGGTGTTCGTCTGTCTGTAGAGTGCATGTGAGGAGGACAGATAAAGTGGGGACAGAGGCGGCCTTCCACCCCATAGAGGAGTACATGCTGCATGTGGAGGAGCAGTTCCAACATCTGGCCAGACGTGTCCACATTGACAAGAAACGAGTTTACCTGGCCACAGACGACCCTTCCCTGCTGCAGGAGGCCAAGACCAAGTCAGTGTCCAGGAGTATGTGTGTGTGGTCTGTGAGTGTGTTCATGTGTGTTGTCAGTCCATGTGATGGATACGTCCATTTGTTTTCCAGTTTTTCTCCAAGTATCTAACCATGGTTAGTTTTACCTTCTCATACCAGGTATCCAGACTATGAGTTCATCAGTGACAACTCCATCTCGTGGTCAGCAGGCCTTCACAACCGCTACACTGAGAACTCACTGAGAGGAGTCATCCTGGACATCCACTTCCTGTCCCAGGCCGACTTCCTGATCTGCACCTTCTCTTCGCAGGTCAGTCCACTCTTTCTAGTCCACATGTATCGACGGCATGTTATTATGTGTGAAGTGAGGGCTGAGACTGTGCCTAAGCCTTTCTCTGGTAGAGAAAACCCAAATAATTTAAGCATACTTTTATCATACTTCTAAAACTAGTGAAAGACTTTCAAATAAAAAACAGCCTTAATGTCTGATTATAACATTCAGCCCATTTACTAGGATTCTGATATTACAATGACACTTGTCTTATGTTCTTGCTGCTGAAGTGCTGTTTGTAGCAAGTTTTAACATGCAGAGGATGAGCTTCTTGTCTATTCTCAAACTAATGTCCAAGCTACATAATTCCTATTCACATTCTGAGTTTATTAGTCCACTTCAAGGATCTAACTGGAATGTATATTTTATCCCTCTTTAACCAGAAATAAAATGTCTTACAATGAGAAGTTCTTTTGTCCCTATATCAGAGTGTTCACGCAGCTCTTCATCTTTGTCACCAAGACAAATTCTTCAACTTTTATAGATTGCAACATGAAAATAATACCTGCTTCTGCCTCAGGTCTGCCGTGTGGCCTATGAGATTATGCAGACGCTGCATCCAGACGCATCCTCTTTCTTCTACTCCCTGGATGACATCTACTACTTTGGAGGTCAAAACGCCCACAACCAGATCGCCGTCTACCCCCACCAGCCACGCAATGGGGAGGACATTCCCCTGGAGCCCGGTGACGTGATTGGCGTCGCCGGCAACCACTGGGACGGATACTCCAAAGGCATCAACCGCAAACTGGGCCGCACTGGCCTCTACCCTTCCTACAAGGTCAGAGAGAAAATTGAGACGGTGAAGTACCCGACGTACCCTGAGGCAGACAAACTGCTCAACTCTCAAAAGAAGTAAAAGAAACTGAAAAAAGAAAAGACTGAGAAGGCGTGAGGAGAAACATGCAGACTCCGATTTCAGGGAAGGAGGCTGCTTTTTGTACAGAAGAGAGGCGTACTTAGTGCGCTAAGCTGAGAAGAAAAGAAAAATCCTGTACCCAGGGGTGATGGGTACAAGAATGCACTCTGTGTGTTTATGTGTGAGAGTGTGGGTTCATGTGTGTGCGCGCGAACGTGTACTGTATGTAAATGCCTGTGCGTATGTCAGGTTATGAAAGATTTGCACCCTACCATTACTCCCCCGCCTGATGTTCTAACGTCAGAGATGTAGACAAGAACACTGATTTTAAATAAGCAAGAAAACAATAACAACTACACAACTGACCAAGCTTGCTCTCCTGAGACGAGGCTGGGACTACTGGAAGACTGACACACCCCAGAGTGAGGCTGACTGGGGAAAAAATCTCAAACTGGAAAAAAAAGTGATTTGATTTTTTTAGTGCTTCTGGTTCGAAACTTGCCTTTCTTCTTTTTCTCCTGTTTTGTTTTTTGTTTGTTTGTTTTTTGTTTACTGAATGTACTGTATCCTCTTGCCATGCTCACTGCTGCCCCTCCCCCTTCCTCCTGCTCCAATCACTGTGCTTCCTTCATCTCGTCTCTACATGTGCAATTCATTTTATATACCATACTGTGCTTTCATCGAGTGTTTTTTAACAGTTTTAATTTTGTGTGTATGGGGCCTGTGCATTGTATACTGTACAGTGTGAATGTGCAAGAGGGTGTATGTGTGTGTGTGTGATGAAGTGAGCCTGTGTGAGCAGTGTGTGTTTTTATTTCTGGCTTTCCTCCCAACTGATTAGTGTTTGTGTGGCCCAGCGGGAGACTGGTGTTGACAGTATGATCTATCCTCAGCCCCTCAGCACTTGGAACAATGGTGATCTCCAGTCACTCCACCGATGACCTCTATTGAACAATGGTGACACTGCGTGAACTATGGGGAACTCATGGTGCACACACACACACACAAGAGCCGTCCCAAAGCTCACCAAAAGAAGCACTCCACTGAGATAATGTCCTTTTTTGCATCTCTGCTGTCTCTTCAGTGTCATGTTTGTTTCTTTTTTACTTTTAACATTGCTGATTTAAAATATAAATGAGGAAAATATGCCTATGTTTAAAATGATGATAATGCTGTGTCATATCAAAATCATGAAGACTTTTCATAATTTATGTTCTTGGGCATTGTCTTTGATAACCACGGTTCAAATAAACTTGAGAAACCAACATGGCATTTTTTTTCCCTTCAGTCTGATTTTGTTCACCATCTGCTCAGAGGAGTGACACCGGCTCATACAGTCAGGCTGAGTATGATCCTGAAACATTACACACATTCCATATATGTTTGAAAGGTTAATTTCCTGAAGAGTAAAAGTCATAAAACAGGTAAACTTGGTATCATCTTGGTTTCCTGGGATTAGAACTGCTTATTACATTCAGAGAACACCAGTAGTTGGTTTTGTAAAACATTCAGGAAGATTATAAATCCATTTTGGTGTCATTTCAGAGCAAAAACTCTTAAAAGTGTCTTTGATTGAGACATTGCTGTCCTTCATTTGCATATGCCTTGTGACGGCTATAAGATACTTTTACCCCAAATACCAAACTTTTCTCCCCAAGGAAGCACAACACAGGTGATCCATTAAAGCACCAGTAGAATCCCTGCTCTAGTGTCCTACTTCCAACATGTCTAAACAATTTATGATCTCAGACTCTGTCTTATTTGTGGGCTGTCTTGTTACTGTTTTACTCTAGGGGCTCTGGGATCTTCATTACAGATCTCTTTTTAATTTCTATGCTGATCTGCATGCTTCATTGGACACCCGTTAGGAAAACCACAGCACTGCTGGCGTAGATGAGCTTTTTGGTGTGTGTGAGAGAGGATAATAGTTTTATTGCTTTTTGTTTCACTGCCTGACAACAATCTGCAACCAATTTAGCCCACGTTGACAAAGCGTTCACAATGCACGTGCAGCGTGCAGCAGTTCGTTGAACATCTCTTTTCACTGGGAAAGGGCTTTATAAACGCACCCACTAACTGGAGGGCACTTTAATTAAAATGCACTCGTTGCTGTCACAGAGGCCTGTAACGGTCGTTTAAGAGAGACATTAGTTCACTTAATTATTCTGTTAATTGGACATCACTCCTGATCGAGAGCATTCGGGTTTTTAACAGGCGAGTTTCTTTCTCTGCATTTGTGGTCTAATTGTTGTGGCGCTTGGTGAGAGCATCTGTGGGCCTCCCACACAGAGCTGTGAATAGAAAGGGAAACTGTCCCATCTGAGCACCTGATCCACTCTCAGTTGTTTGTATCAGCTGGTCAAATTGTCTCTCTAAAAGGGAAATCATTTCAAAAGATACCCACTTGATTTGACTGAAACTCGGACTGCTGAAGTATCATATTGGCTTTGGCTGAAGTTATTTTGTAAAGTTAGAGGACTTTGGATTTTGTCACCACCAAAACTGCAATTGTGTTTGGAAATGATTGTGTCAGGGCCTGTATGGAGAGGAAGAACAAGGGCGGTGGAAAATACCTCTTTCTATATACAGTAAGCTTGTTGTTGTAAGTAAAGTTTGGAAAATTGTCAGCCTGTCCTTTAATGCTGTGAGAACACAGACCAAGAATCCAATGTGGGCCTGTTAACTCTGATGGAATTCATATTATATCAAGATAAGTGGATATGCCATCACCCTGTGGAATTCTAATCTTGTAAAGGGCAGCTAAATTAATTCTGACTGACTCAGGAAAAAGGGAGAGGAAATGGAAATGATTATTGTAGTCCTGGCTGGCTCCAATCACTGCTCTTTTGGCACTGCAGTGTAAGCGCAGTCTGCCCTACGGTACCTGGCCCACATCAAAGCCGGGGGAAGGAACTCGAATAAGAAAGTGTCAGGGCTTCACAAGGGAAAGAAGATTTTTCTCCTCTTCATCTTAAATCAACTCAGCAATCTGCAGCAGTTTGGCTTTTATTAGCTCAGTTTTTTTAATCTCACCTGTTATCCCCACTCACTATAAATCCAAATCTTTAAATTTGAGTCTTGGCACACTTCCAGAGGGACAAAGGCATTTTGTTTGGCACACAAGCTCTAGATAACTGTGACCCCTGCTGTGAATCGGTGTTTCTAATGGAGTGCTAACACACGCTTTGCAGTGAATTTAGTTTGAGGCTTTCATGGATTTACTACACTGCTGGACTTCCAGACCGATTGATTGTAGGCTTTCAAATCCGCCTTCTGTATACTATATCGTGCTTATATTGGTTTTACAAAAAGGTCAGAAAGATGAGTTTGTTCTATTGATTCATATCTTAAAGGTTCGTGCTCATAAAACTAGCAGTCCATAAAAGTTCTACATATTGACATCACCCTGCAAACACAACATTAGGTGATAAAAGGCTCAAACAGATTTCAAGTACTTAAATTAAATATCACTGTGTTGAGAGCAGAATAGAGAGCAGAGTGCTCATTCTTGCCAGGAAAATCAGCAGAACATGCTGATAACAGTTTCATGAGCTGTATGCACCGACAGTGGAGTTGTTGACAGTTCCAGCTGGTCTAAAAGCTGTGATGTCACACAGATAATGGAGCTGCAGTGACTGTAGCTTCCTTTGTGGTAGAGCAGACAAAGCGCTTTGTATCACCAGCCTGATGAAGACCAAGTGTGTCATTAGTGCTGTGACTATGATGTCATAATAATGGCATATTAATACATAGTAATGATAGCAGTGACTGTAATATTGTGAAAGCATATGGTGATGTTTTAACAGATAATTGTGTAATTGCAGAGATCTGGGCTTGTGTCTGATGGAAACATGAGCAGTGAGACGGTTACCCAGTTTTTAAAGCCCCTAAAGTCTTCATAATCAAATATTTTTCTATAATATTGCATATTCATGACTAATTAAGCAGAACATCCTTTGTCATGCCTGTTGTGTGACACCCAGCCCCCTTCTTGGTTCTACCTTTCTTGCTACTACCGCCCAGCTTTGTTCACACTCACCCGCCTTCCATCAGTAGAATCAGTGACTATGTATAAACGCCAGCTCTCAACATTCACTCACTGCCAGACTGTTGTTGACTGACTTGAGTCTCAGCACGCTCCAGCATTTGTTCATTCTGCACTTTCTGGTTCTGGCCCCTCGGGCTCTGACTCTGTTTTCCCACTGCTCCAACAGCTGCATTGATCTGTGTATTGATGTCTGTTCTCTTTGGACTTCTGGTCAGTCATCCCTCGGTTCTGATTATAAGTTTGCTCCAAGTCTAAACTGTTTGCCTGACCTGCCTTTATGAACTGTTTTCCCTCTGTGATCGTGATTTAACCTGTTCCTAGTTCTAGCTGGTTTGTTTACTTGATTGCCTCTTAACTCCAGTTTGCCTGTCTCTTTCTTGCCATATATATTTCGTATCTTGTTACCTGTTTAATTTTTCCTGAGCAGTATACTACCAATCTTTGAGAACTCAAAAGAGACAGCCACCTGACACATACTTGTTTGTCATTGTACTAGTCATCTTATTTACCCATCTGCCTGGTATATTCCTGCCATATCTTTCATTAGCGTCAGTCATCCCTAGAGCCTTGTTATCCCTCCATATACTTACTGTTATCAGCCAGTGTTTCTATGTGCTCCTTGTTACCTCTCTGATGAACAATATCTCCATTATTATCATTAATGTCCTGTTCATTATATATTGTAACCTCCTTGTCTTGAGTGTGCATCTGGCTCCTAAATTTAGAACAGTGGCATCCTTATAATGTATTAATGGTTTTAATGTCAAAACTAATCTTAATCTAACCTTTTTCACCAGAGGTGTAGGTGTCATTTGGTCAGATTTGAATGACAGTGATTAAACAACAGACCGATTGTCAACAGATTTGATTAAAATGCTGCTAAATTCTGATCCAAAGTAGGTGATATATCCATTTCCAAATGAGCCTGAAATAATATCAAATGAAGTAGTTCAGATCTTTCTCTTTCTGTAGTTTTCTAAAGAAAACAGAAGCGATAACACCCAAACAAACTTTGCATTATTTGTGAACACACATGAACCTAACAAGAGACCCCACCTAAAATTATAGTGTGCACAATTATGCTATGTAATTAGCTGCCACCACTGTGCCTGGTTAAGATAATCTGCCTGAACCCGGGGCTTGTTTGCAACTTGCCAGAACGTCTGTTTCTTGCCCCATTGGACTTTGCTGCTATAATTTGGCAGTCATCCCAGATGTCAGCAATTACACTACTGAGTGCGGTTTTATCTTAATCAATGAAAATAATGACCAAAATTATGAAAATAAGACTGAAGTTATAAGAGGCTTGTATATTCCTTTATCATGCAGGCTTTGATACTATAACTCAGTCTGGATAGTGATGTCACATTTTATGGTAACCTAATGGGCTGTGTGTCGATGGGATGTCTGCTCCACTGTATAGCACAAAGACTAATGTTCCTGTTGAAACATCCACTATCACTCTGTGTGCCCATGTGAAACCTGCTGCAGCAGTGGTGGAGGGAAGAGTCCGCAGCGACCGGCCGCCTCCCCCTGCTGCTGCCTGCAGGGTTCAGCCCGCTGTGATGACCATTAGCATCTGGCTGAGGCTGCAGGAGATAACAGGTGATTTAAGGCCCTGTACCCCAACACAGCTAGAGAGAAATGGCCAGCTGCTGCTTATCTCCCCCTCCGCCATACTCCACACACTTTTACATTAGGCTCCCCTATTCAAAGCCATCTGTCATTCCAGTCAGGGTTTGATAAAACCGCCTGCGTACCTCACGAATTGGGAGAAGTGGGAGACTGAGGAGATGCACGCCACCACTCCACCTGCATACTTATACACATAACAATTCAGAGAACCACACCAGATGAATACTTAGAGCCCAGGACAACGCAATGGGACTCAACAGCAGTAGCTGAACAGAGCGCACAAAAGATACTGTACCTGGTTGTAAAAGAGAGACCTGAGTATGTTACATCACCCGTAGACTAATTGTAAATCAGTGTTCTTGGTGAAATGAATGTGGTCAGGATAATAATCACTCTGGGCTGCAGTACATCAGCCATTAATGCACAGTGCCAAACACTAATCACAGTGGGTGCACCAATAAAAACTCTGGAGATGATAACATTTCTCTACAGAAAGCATTATGTCATTGAGTGTTTTCTGCCTCTTAGAAATATCATTCCCACTGATCACTCAGAAGGATTTGGCATGTCTACAGCCTCATGATTAAAT